CATTATCTTTCTCTTCCCTCCCTCCCTCCCTCCCTCCCTCCTTCTTTATTTCTTTTTTTTTTCTGTCCCTTCCTTCCATCCCCCCCTCTTTCTTTGTCTACCCTGTTTTCTTTCTGTCCCTTTTCTCTTTCTTTTCTTCCTTCTCTCTTTCTCTCTCTCTTTCTTTTCTCTCTCTCTCGTTCCCAGTCTCAGGCTCACCCCACTGACTTGGTGCACCGCTCCGCTTGGACTTTTTTGGGCAGGTCCCTCCAGTGCAGCGGGCTCAATGGGGTGGACTTGCGGGGCCGGGACCTAGAGCGCGGCAGTGGCAGTGCATTTGAAAAGTAGAGCAAAGCCAGACATCAGTAATTTTTGCTGCAAAGAGTAACAAAAGCTTCCTGGGCTGTGCATAAGAAGGGACACACATGTCAATGCAATTCAGCAATATAAAATAAAGAAATACAAATAAAACAAATCAACAAGAATTGGCAAAGCATCTCTAATTAGATTCTATTCACTACTAGAATGTAATCAGAGATGCTTTGCCAATTCTAGTCCAATGACCTGCTCCAACATGGTTAGAAGGGAGTGTGTGTGTGTTTGCATGGCTGTCAAAACTCCAAAAACAGGTGAAGTAGATCTGGGGAGGTCAGTCATAAATATTAGAACACTTGCTAATAATCCAACAGCAAAACCAAAGTCCAGCTGACAACACAGAGTTTCCAGTTGCAGACCAAAATAAGTCATAAAACAAGTTACTTCCACCACACACTGTCCAAGGCCTAATAACTAATATCAAATTTATTTATTTATCTATTTTATTGGATTTGTCAATCGCTTACAAGGTAATAGATATAAGTATAAACATGAGTAAGATTACAGGATATAGGTACGAATAAATGGGGACAATAGGACAGGGACGGTAAGCACAATGGTGCACTTATGCACGCCCCTTCCAGACCTCTTAGGAATGCTATTCAGCATTCACACCAATCTTGACTCTTCAATCTCCAACTGCTAAAGTTGTTTTCCAAGAGGAACACCTGTAAAAACATTCATCCAGTGCTCTTCTCTTTATCTTAATAAAAACACCTGATGGGTGGTAGAAACATTCCCACCAGTTTCCATAAGATATTTTTTTAAAGGCCGCTGGGTGGCAGTCTTGCATAAAACATTTAGTTATCAGCACTGTTTAAAGTTATAGAAAGAGAAAAGAAAAGTCCAATCAGATTAAAATAAAAGGTTTCTTTTTGGGAGAAAAGGAAACTAATAAAAACACAAAAAGAATAATAGTAATTGTAAAGTCTCTCCTTAAAATCAAAGTTAAAAGTTGTATTATTGTAGCAAAGGTCCAGTCCAATTAGTTTAAGTTCCTTATTAAAAATCAGTAAAAATGACTTAAATAACACCAATTCTTCTGACTCCAGGTTTAATTTCACTGCTTATTCTTCTTCTGTCTTCAATATTCTTAATTCTTCCCTTCTTAGGGTGCTCTCTCTTTAAAAAAAAATTAAGGGTCTCACCAAAGCTGACACACTTTCCGTTCCAGAACTGTCCCAACCTTTCAGCAACTTTAATGGCCGCTTCCTTCTGCAGCTGGTTTGAAGTGCTTCACCTGGATCAACCAGGGATTTTGCAATATCCCTGGGATCAACAGGCTGCGCTCTTCTTGTTCACTGTCTCTATATGGGATGGTTTTGATGCAAATGGACCTCCCACTGCAGTGGTATCAGCGCCAGATCTGGAGCCCCAGAATCACACGTCATTTCATTGTGATGTCAGCCCTGCCACCTCAAATTTTCAGATTCCTATCTGCAGGTTTTCTGGAAAGAGCCTGAGTGCATCCTGCAGCCGGTATCTTGCAGAAGTATTCAGGGGAAACCAGAGACTGAGTCAATTAGAATTGTCCCTCAAGGATCCAGATGAGAAAACCATGGGACTGTTGTACTAAGTGCTCAAGCATCCAGAATATAACATAGAGACACTACAAGAAGTAGCCATTTTCTCTCTCTTCATTTTCATGTGCTAACCATCTCTTGAATGTTTATTTTCTGGAAATATATCCAGGATGAGGCAATTCTAATTCTAATATATAACTTTCTATTCTTTCAATGGTATATTTCTTGTTTCCTTTCTCTTTTTTTGTAAGTTTTATTTGGGTTTTCACACACACAAAAAAAGAAATACAAGTAAAATATCTTTTTTGAAAGCGGCATAATCCCGGGTTACGTCTCTTCATACAGACACAAATTCAAGTTCATGCTCATTTTTATATTCCATTCCATACCTTATTACTATTCTACATTTTCTACATAGCTTCTCCCCTCTTTTAACTTTCTTAATTTTATTTTATTTATTTCATCTGTTTCAACTGTCTACTATCTTTTCTCATTAAACAAAATTTCTCCTGTAATCACTGATTGGAGTATGATGCCTTTATATCTTTCCCCTAAACTTTCCATAGTTAATTCCCCCCCCACCCCCCTTCACTTGTATTTTTTAAAACATTGACTAATTAAAATGTTCCCATTCCTTCCTAATTCAATTTTCTAATTTATTTTATTTCATTTATTTTAATCACAAACATTTCCCCAAACCACACCAACTACTTTATCTCTCTTTTTAATCATATGTTGTTTCCAATTTTCTAAAAGTATTTCTATTACAAATATAACAATACCATCTTATGTACCTTCACAGAATCCCTTTTTCAGTTAGATTTTCACCCATTATCTCTAAATAGGTCCTGTTTCTTTACATCTTGCTCCAAACCTTTATAACTTCTCTTCCTTTCCTTCTTCCCTCTCTTCTTCTCTTTCCCCCTTTTATCCCCCTGTCTCTCCACCTCCATTTCCCTCTTCTGTATTCCCCTTTTCTGTTGCTTTCCAACATTATATCCACTTTTCAAATTATTTTTCCCTTTTTTGGCTGTTTTTTTTAGGTCTTAAATTCTCCATTCTCTTTCCCCTTTCTTCCCCGCATAGAGTTACTTGTTCATTAAAGATGGCTTCTTCTTTGTCCCCGTTTTCTTGTTTTGTAGTCTTTTCTTGTTGTTTCTCATAGTTGGAGATCTCCATTTCTAAGAATTGAAAAATGAAGCCAAAAGAGCCCTTCCCTTCTTGTGCCTCTTCTTTGTATTTTTTAAGTTCCATTTTCAATTCCTCCAAAAGTGATGCCATCGTAAAAATTTTTTAAAAACCACCCTATTAATTTTAGTCATTCAAATATAATAACCAAAAATCTAAAAGTCACCAGACAGTCCAAATACACACAGCTGTTTCTTTTTACACTTTCTCTTCCTGGGGTTACTATTTAGTTGCAAAATCTCAGTTAAAATGTATCTTTTAGAAGTCTTGTTGAAGTTTTACTTTAGATTCTTTTGAAGTCCAGGCAGTCTCTTCCCTCCAGATCCTGCCCTTATTCTTTTCCTCTCCCTTCTTGCTTATAAAAGAAAAAGTTTTTAATGTCCAGAAATCTTTATTGTCCCTTTGGCATTTAATTATATTTTCAGCTTAATTGCCTATTAGTGCCAAAACGGATTTTTCTGATTTCTTATTCTGATCTTTTAATTGTCAATGTAAGGAAGGAGAAAGAAGAAAAAAAAACCTTTCCCTTTTCACTTTCTTTTGCTGCTTCTGGCCTTCTTTAGGAGCGATGTTATCTTTTGTAAAATTTAAATTCCAGGGTACCTTAATTGTTGTTTTTTTCAGCTTAACCTTGTCATCCAAAACTTTCACTTCTTATCTTCCTCCTGCACTTTATTTTCTGGTTGAGTTCTTCTTTGAGGTGGCCATTTCTGACCACCGCTCCTACCGCCTTCGGGAAAGGGAGTCTGGCCAGTGGAGGAGGAGAGATGCGGCTCTCCTTGACCCTGCTGGCAGTCTCCCCTTCTTCACCACCTCTATGGGGTGGCTTAGCCCCAAAGCCAGCAGGCTTGGGGCGCTCCAGCGGTGAGCCCAGGCAGAAACCGTGCACGATCGCAGATTCCTATCTGTCGCCGAAGCCCTTCAAACCAGAAGTACCATATTTCCTGTTTCTTTTCAAAGATCTAAATACTGAAACTCTCATGATTATCTTTCAGTTAGTGAAATAGTGCATTATGCAGCAATAGGCTTGTTTTTTTAGTAATTTACCTCAAATTGATAACTTACAAAATTGTCCAAAATGTAGGATCCCTTTTTCCTGATGGAATAAAATTTGTTGAAGTTCTTGTTTCACTCCTATTGGCTTCTGCTATGTCGCTGCTGCAGTCACATGATCTTTGTTATGATATGTAATAACCCTTGAATAACAAGGATATGCACATGGAAAGGTTTATGAATAATTATTCAGCCACACACAGATACACTGAATTGAGGTATAGTTTACTCTAAGAAATAGCACAGTCCAATAAATGGTCCAGGTCATATACATTTAACAGTCCAAATAATATCCAATTACAAAGTCTTCTTACCAGTTGCAATTCATGTACAGTAAACAAAGATATCAAAGTATAAGCACAGCATAAATTCAACAGATAACCTTAGATAGCAACAGAATGTCAGAGAGAGCAAGCTATGATCTCTAGCTCCCTTTTATGGTACTTTGCAATATAATCAACCAATCAGAATATAGTATAAATCAATACAGTGCTTTTGTCTTAAAGCTACAAACATACATTGTTGGTTTATATATTGCCAACCCAACTAATTGGTATACAAATTCCTAACATTCTCCCTTTTGGGTTGGTCAATATATAATACATTTTTAAACCATAATTCTCACAACACTCTTTATGCTTAATTACACCTTGAGCTTTTGTGAAATGATCTGCAATATTATGTTCAGTCATGCGGTAGTCTAACTGAATTAATTTATTTTGAACACACTGTCTAACATTCAAACATCTCAAATCAGTATGTTTAGACCATTTTTTAACAGCTAAATTAGTAGCCATACTAATTGCAGATTGTCTTCGTAAACAATAAACGGTTCATGTACAGTAATTCCAATATCCTTCAGCACTTGTTTATACACATTAATGATAAACATGAGAATTCCGCTTCCATATTGGACGAACTAATATGTTGTTGCCTAATAGATTTCCATCCTATTAAAGCACTACCCAACATTATCACTATACCTGATGTTGACTTACGAGTCATTATATCAGTAGCAAAACTTGCATCAGCATATGCAGTTAACACTAATTCATTACTTGGTTCTAAATATAATGAGTAATGGATTGTGTGTTTTAAAAACCTAAGTATTTGCTTAGCTGTTTGCCAATGCCTTTCATTTGGTTCAGCGTTATACCTAGCCAATTGGTTTACACTGTAAGATATATCTGGTCTAGACCAATTACCCAGATATGATAGACTACCGATTAAGGATTGATATATTTCCTTATCAAACATAGGACTTTTAATATCACTATGTGTAAATTCCTTATTCATTGGTGTCTTAGCAGATTTACAATGCTCCATGTTATAGCGTTTTAATAATTGGCTAATCTTGGCTTGCAAAATTTTAAAACCTTTATTCGTTTTCACTATATCAAGACCCAAATAATGGTTAATTTTCCCTAATTTTTTAATCCTGATTTTTTTCTGTAATCTATAAAC